TGTGTGTGTGTGTGTGTGTGTGTGTGTGTGTGTGTGTGTGTGTGTGTGTGTATTAGAATTTTAGGGTGGTTGGGTATGTGCACGTGGATGGAGACAGGGTAGTAGATACTTGTACAGAGGTGTTATTTATGAAGAAGTAAACAATGGACACGCGTACCTCGGCAACAGCCTTTTGCAAGGCATCCTCACTACCGCTTGTTACGTTAACGTAGGCCTGCGCTGTGGCGCCTACTCCCGCCCGCTTGAAGTGGCAGGGACGGTCTTCTGGCTTGTATGGGTAGCTCTCTTCAGTGTCAATACCTTTGTTGTCAATTACGTACTGGAATGCGTTCACCTCTAAGCCTCCGTCACAGCCATAGTTGCCTACAGAGCAAAAATACGATGGGGAATCAGAAAGTAATGCAAGTTCATTTATAAGTTAAAGAAAAAAGAACGCACTGGCAACTATCATACCTCAAACTGAAGGGGAACATCAGGGGATCAGATTTCTATATTTCAATATAGTCTTCAATTTGTTCAATAGCCACTGTCCACCTTTTATTAAGTCAACATAGAGCAGCTTCTTAAAACTGAGCAGGTTGGTCTTTTGGGTACCGCAGTCTTGATTTGTCCATCGTTTCCATAGTGTTGACATCTCAATGATTCTTTTCGAGGACCGAAAACGTGAAAGTCTGAAGGTGCCAAATTAGAGAATCAGCTGGGTGTGGCAGTGTTTTCCATCCAAACAGGGTGATCGTCTCCCTTGTTCTGGTACTCGTCTGCAGGTGGGCATTGTCACGGTGAAAAAAACAACACTCTTTCCATTTTCAAATTTGGTCTGACTAGTCGAATTCTCGCTTTCAGTTGTTTCAGTGTTTCAGTGTAGGCTTCAGAATTGACAAATGCTACTCGCGGTAAAAAAAAATATGTGAAAGGCACTCTATGAACGTCCAAAACCACAGTTGCCATGATTTTCCCAGTGACTCCTCGATTCTGACAAGCATATGGACACACCTCCCTTTATTTCCGGCCCATTGCTGAAACGTCTAACCCACATACAGGGCCAAAATCTTGAGCTTGGTTCCTGTAAACATTTTGAAGTCTCTTTTGGATGCTACCAGTGGATTCTCCTTCTAAAACATCCAGAAATTCAAGCACAGCTCTTTACCGCTGACAGACCTCCAATTGGCCAGCCATGTTGATGTGACGTCATTCAGTCAAAAAAAACCTAACAAACTTAAATTTTGACAGTTTGAGTTGAAAGGTACCTGTGTAAGTGTATATGAGCCGAATTTAAATTAAATTTGATGCTAAATTGTGCAAAATAACGAAATACTTGCATTACATTTTTACTCCCCGTAGTATAAATTATAAAGGTAATCTATTTGTAAACTTATCAAGTACAGTAATTGCGATTATAATGCCTGAGCAGAGCAAGGAACAAGAGAAGGGGAGATCAGAACATGAATGAAGTTGCCAGAGACACAATAACAACAACAGTAGTCCTCCGCAATATTATTAATCAGTAACCGAGCATGGAGGGATATAGTAATGGAGGTTGGAATGTGGGCGACACCCATGACTGATAGAAGTCCTCTCTCACAGCGGAACCATAGGCAACCAGCAGCGTGCGCGGCCTGACTCTCGCACTAAAAGCTAGATTAGGCAAGAGGGTTTTATTCTAAAGTCCTTGAGATCAGGCATGTCATTGAGTAAAACTACCACCCTCATGTGTTGTGTTTAGATGTTCTACACCGCAGTAGAAAAGCCGAGATGCTCGATAAAAAAAAAAGAAAACAACTATTAAATGGGATTGCCTTCCATTGTGAGAGCATATTAAATTATATTATGCAAACTAGTATCTTTTTACGACGATACCGTATCTAATGTCTAGGTATATACATAAATATTGCTTTTATCCTAATAATACGCAGCTTAGTTCATTCTTCTCCGAACTATTGCGGTTGTCTAAATGTAGATATCTATAATAGCTCCATTAAAAAAATGAAATCAATAGTTTACTAGTAAGAATAAATAGCTTTTCTGTTAAAGAAAGGGTGTTAAAAACCACAAAAAGACGTAAGATGATTAGTGAAGGAGAGGAAGGGGGGGGGGTCAATAATAATTTTAATCTTTATCCGGTTTAAGTTTATTTTAATAGTCTACACGTACGTGAATACCGTTTATGGTCCCAGTTCACTTCAGATTCCGTTGTTTTAAGAAAATACATGTTACAGCACAAAGTCATCCCCAAGAATTCAACTCTGAAGTTTGAAGGGACTTGCTTAGTTATTGGTCTCCACTGGGGTCTTTCGATGGGAGAGAATGGCTGCAAGTTTCCCTTCCGCCTCACATTCCTTGTTCAATTTAGTTCTGTGTCATTATTGGCTGTCTTGGTCTCGGTGTATGATCTCTCATAAGACAGCAGCAGCAGCAG